CTGCATATGGACTTGTTTAAGGAGGCTTGTCAAAGCAAAACTCCAGCTGATGTTTTAAAACTGTTCATCATTGATTGGCAATATACTGCTTAAACCAACAGCAGCATTTCTGAAAAGCTTTTTTTCCTTCTCTGCAGTTTATGTAACCCAACAATTTTTGGGTGTTTCTTTGTAAGGTTCTCTTCCTCTTCCCTTATGTTTTACTGCTTTTCCTGGAAAATGATTAAATGATTGCTGAACTGCCTGTTTTCTCTAGTTGTTTGTGATATATCTGTGTTCTTCTTCTAGAGCTACCATTTTCTCCTTTTGTCATTCCATATATAACACTAAACATCACATGCCAATTTGGGTTTGTTGCAGGACGCTGGTGTATTTGCCTTACTTGAAGTGCAGGATGGTGAAAGTGTTCAGTACCTTAAGAGTAACATGAGGTCTTGCACTATTACATTTTTCCCTCTACTAGTCAGTAGGTTTTAGTGTAGCAGTTCAGTAGTTTCTTAAGCATTCCTGAAATCTGAAACAGTTGGGAAAATGAACCTTGTTTCTATCATCTTTTTTTCCAGCAACCTGCTGCGTGGTCTGGATGTACCTCACACTGCTATTGTGTTGAGATGTATGCATTTTAAACGAAGTAGAAAATTGAGGTTGCTGGTTTAGGCTGTGCATTGACAGTGACTTGCTTAATCTGATAACCATCTTTCAAAGCTACTTATGCCAAAGCATGCTTTGGAAAAAAAGCCTGGACTCTCTGCATAAGGTAACAGTACTATTTTAGTATAAGCTCCATCCAAGTTAGTTCTGCTACTGTGTTGCCCTCTCTATGAGTGCTCCTGAATGTCCTCACTAATTCAGGGAGTGAAACTGACTGAGGAGTGTTGCCCTGCCCTTTTTTTTTTTTTTTTCCCAATAGTGCCACCTTGACTCCTGGGTTTGCTGAAGGTTTAAATAAGGAACATTGCAAGGCAAGTGTCAGTATACGTGTCTGAAGAAAAAAAGTGAAATGCAGAATTAAAGCAATTCTGAGTGAGACTTAAACTGTCAAGGCAATGGAGCCTGAAGTATTTTCTGCAAACCCCTTAATTCCTTTGATGTCTGCTCTAGAGAGGGTTAATAATAGCACTTAATCAGTATGGAAATCTGAGCAGTGAGGAGATAGAATTTCATTGTGTGTACAAAAAGGTATGTAGATGACAAGGAGCGAAGCATCTGATGGAATAGAAGTAACTCCCAGCCAATATTCAGAGAACATAACAGAACCTGTTTGACATTTCACTGAGGCTGATTGTTTTCCTCTCGACCTAAACTTCTGGGGAGAGCAGCATTGGATGTGATCTGCCCAGTGTGCTTTTGTGCAGTGGCACCGTTGTCCTCTGTCCTCAGCAGTGCAGGGCTCTTAGAGCCTGGCAGGTTGTGCCACAGTTTTTCTTGGTGTTAATTTAACCTCTGCAGCCCCTGTGGCTTTGAGAAAAGCATTACCTTGTCTTGACTGAAATCTACTACCTTTAGAAGTCCGGAGTCAACCCGCCGTGGAGCACACACAGTGCTGCAGCATTGCCTGGGTGATTTTTGTGAGTATAGGGAAATTTTCTCTTTCTCAAAGTGGAAGACTCGAAAAACACAGGAAGCCCAGGAGCGCAGTGGGCAAAGATAGTCAGCCTGCAGTTGCAGCCACGCAGCTGATCGGTGAGCTCTTGCTTTCACTGCTGTTTTCTGCAGTGCCCTGTGCAATCACTTACCTGTCCGTGCCTTGCCAGTGCCTTCCCTCACCGGGCCAGGATCTGGTGCAGCTCCTGGCATCGCTGGCATCAGCGCCTGGGCTCCTTTGTGTTGGGCAGAGCACACCTTCCTGGCTGGAGCACAAGAAAGGTGCTTTTTTTGACTGGCAAGTTCAACTGCAATTTCTTGTGTGTTTTGCTGGCCTGAATGAGATAAATTATATAGACAATGTGCTTTGTGAATTCAGGACTGAGGTGAGGAAGGCAGCAAGGGAATGAAAAGTTAGGTGATGGTCTGGAGGCAAAACTATACTGTGGCAGACTGGACGTAGCAAGATGGGAGCTTGCTTGTGTGGTGTGGACACAGGCTCGTAGCTCTGCAAATTTTATTTTATCTGTAGTTCACTGAAAAGATGTGCTCTAGAGGAAATGTTTTAACTTCCTAAGTATCTATCAGTTTCCAAGTTTTGAGAAAGCATTTATCCACATTCATAGCAGCAAAAAATCTGATGTGAAGCTGTTGGAAGATTAGGGTGGAACTAGATGATCCTCGAGGTCCCTTCCAACCTCTTAGTTATTTTATGAAAGTTTGTGATCCACAAACACTAGAACAATAGAGGATCTGCTGATAAAGTGTCATTATATGTTTACTTTGATTTTATATTTCCTAGGCATTTTCTGAAGTCCCCTGGCAGAAACAGGATACTAAGCCAGCCAATCCTCTGCCTTTTTTATGAGTTAAGAGCTGTACCACAAAGCCTCTTAAATTATTTTTGTATGCCAGTCTTTTAATTAGGAGTGTAATTTTTGTAAGCATTAAAGCTTGACGGTGATTGTCGTGGTGCTCTTACGTGATGCCGTTGAAATTCATGTAATTAGCATTGCCTGTTAGAGTGCAATTTTTTATGGCAGTGCAGGCATTAAAATGTTAGTCATCTATATAATCAAATTACTCAATGTTGTACCACTATTGAAGCTTAAAGATTCGAGGTATGGTGATTTGGTTTTGTACATTTTTAGATATTATTGTGTATCAATATAGTTATGCTTGACAGCTTCAGTTAAGATTACCTTTGACATTATTCTTTTAAAGGCCAGTTTTTAGAACAGGCAGTTTTACTGCTGTCTAGCCATTTGATTTCTATGACTAGTTTCTCTACAAAGTTTGTTTCAAATCAAGAATTGTCACCTTGAAAATCTCATGGTGTTATGAGTTCTGAAATGCTGTTTTTATGAACCTCTGATTGTTTCTGTGACCATTTGTCAGCAAGAGAATGTTGTATTTATTCCAAAAGCAGTTTCATTGCTCCAGTGTTAGTTGCAGGTGCTAATTTGTTTGTCTTATTTTTTTAATAACTTGTACTTACAAGGTTTGCTTTCTTTAGTAAGTTTGTGTCCATAAAGCTTCTAATGGCAAGTGTCTAGTTGTGAGCTCCTCTTCACACTCCTTCCATGTTCTCTAAATGTGATGTAGATTTCATGTATAAACATGTTCACGTTTAGGTGTTTTGGAAGTTTGCTATTTCTTTGATGTGTTTTCAGAGTTTTATTTCAAGGTGTGTATGTTCTTCCCATTACTCCGTATTTTTTGCTTTTACGTTTTCCATTTATTATTGAGTGGAAATATGGATAGATTAGAGAAGAAAGCTTTAAATTTACATACTATCTCAGTCTGGTTACATCCAAGACTTAAAGCATCACCTGTATCTTTTTGTGTTCAAGATGTTGTTTGAGAGCGTTTCTCCTGGGATTCCTCTGTTCTGTTGATTCCTTTCATGAATCCAGTCTGTAGGGTTCTCCCTGTTGCCACCCCCAGGTATCTGTGGTTATATACTCTTGGCTATTGATTAAGTTTCAGGATACTAATGAGCCAGTGGGGAGTAGAAGTGGTTAACAGCAACAAGAGCAGAGTGTCTTGGCTGCATTTCTGTATTTTGTGAAAACAAGGTGGATTAAATCAAGTTCTGGAATAAGAACACGTGATAAAGTGATAATTTGCACTGATCTGTCCCCAGTTTTTGCCCAAAATAGGAGGAATTATTTCTCTCAAGCCGATTCTCCCTTTCTTGAAATGCATCTTGTCTACACAGTTCAGTAGTTATCTTTGATTTTATTATTTTTGTCTTTAAAAAAAGAAAAGCCTTTCATGAATCCCTAGATTCTTGAAATAACTTCAGGATGCCTTAAATGCTGTCATCTTGGAGTCACAGCCTTTCCAGTTTTCTTGACTTTCTAGCCATAATAAAAAAAGCCTCAATTATTTATGTTCTCAGTTGCACGATGAATGTTTTAACTGAATTCAGTTCTCGTGCTTGGAGTGTGCACCTGTGTCTGATTTGCCCAGGTGTTCTCTTAGCATGTCAATATATTGCTGAGCCTGAATAGCATTTAACTGGGAGCAATGGAGGAAAAATTGTATCTGAGACAAGACAGATTGGTACTGATTACAAATACAGTGTGGTTTTACATGAGGGTAAGGAGCTGGGATTGATTTTACAGTTGCAGGGAAGCGGATTAATTTATTTTAGCACTGCTTGTTAATGGCACCCAGGGCAAGCCGTAGGGTCCCACCTTGTGTTCAGGGTGATCTTGGAATGAGGGCCACAAGAGGTAATTGGCAGCTTTAGTGTTTTTAATATTGGAGTATGCATTATTAGAAAATGAACCTTAGTGCTCTGTAATCAATAGTTTTTTGGGTCTCTCAATTCTCTGTGTGTTTTAAAAGCAGATGATAGACATAAAATATTAGTGTTATTTGGTGTACAAATGTCATTCCTCCCTCCACTGTATGCTTTGTGTCATGATCTAATTAACTTGAAGTTGATTTCATGGCGCTTATGTCTCAGGGTCACAAAATGAACTATTTCAGGAAGAATTACCTGCAGTTAACAAACCGATAATCCCAGTGGTTTGTTTTGAGTGTATGCAGTTGTAAATAAGAGCAAAACTGGATCTGTGTCTCCCAGAAGCAGACAGGATACATTCAGGAGAGTCTGTAATAACACTTTTGGAGGGTTGTATGAAAAGTTCTGTTTCCTTCCATTATATTCAAATTTTTGCCTCTAGAATTGTTGCTTTTTAAGAATTTAAAGCACTCTTGTTAGTGCTGACACTCATGAGCATTGATTTCCAAACCTACCATTGAATTTAAAGACTTGAGGAAGAATTTGCTTAAGCAGATTCCTCCACTGCATGTGGAGGTGGTGGTTCTGAGAGTTGATTGTTTCAGCCTGTTACTGTTGGTTCTATTCTTCCTGGTTTTAGTGTTTTTCTTTCTCAATACAGGTCTTCATGCAGAGTTGTCGTATGTGAGGAATGATGTGGTTAATCACTACGCATTGTCCTTCAATCTCTTAATACCCAGCGAGACCAACAATCTTCACTTCAGCTGGCATGCTAAATCCAAGGTAAGCAGGCATAACTTCTGTGTTCAAGTACTTGAAACATGATCAGTATTGCTTGGTAAATACCCACTATTATTAGTTTATTGGCTTTTTTCCTGTGCAAAAATTATCATGTTAGATGCGAAAGAATTATTTATGACTGCAGGCAAAAAGGTATGATATGTGTCCAAACTGTTCCTTTTTTTTTTCTTCTGGAAAGACTAAGGACTTCTTTGAAATCATTTATACTTCTTGTTTCTGGCAAGCTATATGTGTATATACAAGCTACTGACTGTGGAATCCCTTCTGGTGGTGCATTGAACACAGAAGAGGCAGCCTCTGCAAATCACATGCAAAGCAACTGTGTTTTAGAAATTTCTAGAAACGTGTGTTTCGAGATGAAGCCATGGTTTTAGCTGGAGCCATAGTTATAGCCAGAACTGTAGTTTTAGCTGGTATGTAGGAGACCTAATATGTTTGAGCAAGCAGAAGCAGTGGGAGAATGGAGGTGTGAGACACAGGTGTTCTACAAGGGGAGCTTATCCCCAAGGGCAGGATGCTCTTATCTTCAAAGACAGAATGCCCCAGGACTCCCAAGGGCCAGTAAGATATGCAGAACCAGCCTAGGCCAGCCTTGGGGTCTCTTAAGAAAGATAAGGAGTTAATTGAATGGAGCCCATCAGAAGGACACCCCGATGAAGTAAAACAACAACCAGAGACCCCCGATGACCACCGAAAGACTGTATTGCGCATGCAGGAGTGGGCAGCAGCATATGTTAATGAGTTATTGGAAATTACATGGAGATACATATATATCTAAACCCTATGTAAGCTGTACATTTAGCCCTTCACAGGGCACACATTAGATGGAGCTATCCCTAGTATGCCCAGTCCTGCAATAAAGAATACCTGCTTAATAGACATCAAGGCTATTAAGTTCTGATTTCAGCCTTTTCATGGCATCAGAGATGAGAAGAACCTATAAAAGTAACATCTAGTAAGTTAAAACCAAGCTCTGATTAAATGGAAAGGGAATTTTGTTTCACTTAATACCGTGGCTGGAGCATGCAGCAACAGCTGTCATGAGGATTGCGTGTGCCCTTACATTTTGAAGGGTTTCCAGTCACTTAACAATTTATTTTTGAATGAAGTGATCTGTTTAGTCTCTGCCAGATGTTTTTTCTTTTCAAAAAAAACCAACAAAAACCACCCCAAACCAACAAAACTTCAGTTTTTCTGTCCCTAAGTAGGAGAGAGAGCAGTAGGAACAGCAGTATCTAACAGCTGCACCAAGTGCAATTCCTGAAGATTCCTTCTGCCATTGTTCTTCCCTTTGAGGTGGAACTTCTTTTGACACATGAATTTTGACCTGCAATGGTATTGGTTAGAGTGCAGGTGTTGAGGTTCAAGCTGACTGGGACGAAGAACTATGCAGTCTCCAGCTCACTCCTCCCCCCATCCCCCCCTATTTCAACAGTGATGTGGAGGGAGACAAAAAAAAGATAAAGAGTTTGAGATTAAGGATAGGGGGAAGGTAATAATCTACCATTTAAGATGACACGTGAAGAACCAGAGCAACGTGGGGAGAAAAACATAGATTTAACTCACCACCACTATTTACGAAGTAGGATAGTCAGAGGAATACATCAATAAATATGTCCTGATCTTAAATAGACTTTGCCCTCCCCTCCATCTACCCAGGTACCTCCTCCCCCGCATCAGTGCAAGGGGGGCAGTGGGGGGAAGTTTCGTTCATCTGGCCATTACTCATTGTCCATGGCAGCTCAAGGGCTCCTCGCAGTCTCTCCTTCCTGCCACGTAGTGTCCATCTCACAGGAGGCAATTCTCTTCCTCCTTGGCAGCCTGCCGGGGCCACAGATCACAGATTGCTCGGTCTCTCTCCGCTCTGGGATGGGGCTCTACATGTACCGACGTATCCTGGACGCCGCCACTGCTGTCGATTCCCTCAAGTGGCAGGCAGCCACCTTCCTGCCATCTCAGCCACCACGGGCTTCAGGGAAAGGTCCTGCTCTGGAACCCTTCTCCCTCTCCTTCTCTGGGACTCTTCTTCCCCTTTCTTCTCAGGGCAACTGTTCTAACCTCCCCCTCCTCCAACAGAAGAAACACTCCCTCACATTAAAGACAGGACAGCTCAAAACAAGAGAAGCCAAAAGAGAGAGAAACAACCCTGGGGTCGCCTCTGAAATACCTTGATGGCAGAGGTGCTGATTGGCCTGGCCCTGGCCAGAGGCAGGTCCCACTCCTACCTGGAAGTGGGAGAGGCTCTCAAAGTTTTGCTTGAGTCTACCCCTGTTTTTTACAAAAAAGACCCCACCAGACTCAAACCCATGACAGCAGGCCAGCCCTTCTACTTGATACGACATTCCACCCTCACAGGCAGCTCAGTCACTTGCCGTTTCAGTAGGACCTTTTAAGGAATTTCCTTGTTACAAATTCATCCATGAGTTACCTGCATCACTGTCTCTGCCCTGAGTTTCCTTAGGCCTGTCCATGAATTTTGAAGAAGATTTTTTTGAGCTTGTGTAGCCCTACCTCCGTGACAATGATGACACCACTCGGCATCTTCTGTGCTGACTTTGTAGAATTGGTGCAATGCAGTTTATAGGAGCTCCAAAACTGTGTTGTTTCTATCCTTGGCATTTTGACTAAAAATTAAATTCACAACATAAATGCATCCTATTATGTTTTAGAAAGGGGGGAAAAAAGGAAACTAAGGGGGCAAAGTCAAATCAGATTAATGAGTGTGGAAGGATAGAATGAATTTCCAACAGGAGCTTATGACAGAGTTATAGTCCTGTACTTTTTTTTTAACGGATATTTGCAGAATCAGCTTCTTAAGTGGAAACAAAATCTTTACTATAGTTGAATAAACTGTTTTTAAGGAATTTTGACTGTGTAGTTCATAAAATTGGGGAGGGGGCATTTTTTAAATTCCTATGGTTTTAACAAACTGGCTTTTGAACACAAAAAGTTAAAAGTATCAGCAACTGAGGTTTTTGGTGTTTTTTTATTGTAGTTTGTTTTTTCCCCTGTTGTTGGTGTTGGTATTTTTTTTTTATACAGCACTTTAAATTCTGCCCCAAATTTTCAAGAATGATTTCAAGAGTGGTTTCTTTTTTAGTTAAATTTGAACTGTAACAAAAGTCTGCTATTTAGATTTCGTATAAAACTTCAATTTATTCACCTAAAATCACCATCATTCTTTGAAAATAAGATACAGTTTTTGATTTCAAGAATAATTATGAAAAAATATGTAGCATTTCTTTTTACTGGTGTAGAGACATCTTACATGTTTTCTGTCTCTCAACTCTTGTTACAGGTTGACTATAAATTGGGATTTCAGGTCGATAATCCCATGGCTATGGCTATGCCCCAGACCAACATTTCTCTACAAGGAGAAGTTCCTCGCACACTTTCAGGTAAACTTCCCACAGCGCACAGCCAGTGCTGATACTAATAATGCTTTCTGGTGGTACTTTGTTTTTTCCCCAGATGTGTGTATTGTTGCCTAAGAACATAGTTTTTCTCTATTGATATGCTTACAGGCTTTCTGCAACAGTTACGACATTGCTAAAAGGCTGATACAGATTGAGACTGTTAGTCTGAGAGTAATATTTTTCCCCCTTTAGTGAAGGATACAGATTTTCCTCGAAAGGGAACATGACGTTTTTTTGTGTATATGTACACTCACAAGGTTCATGTTCTCTTTCAAAAACAATAATTAACAATTGCATGGGGTTTAAAATGCATACCTTTGAATTCCCCTAACCTACAGAGATGACATTTTAAGATATGTGGGTGTTGTTAATACATTAAAGTGTTTATGATAAGTTTAAAACTGAGAGAACTATTCTGAATGTATACTAGCTCCTCCATAGAATTTATGTTAGAAACAATTGCATTTGTTTCAGGAAGTGTGCAAATGTTCGTCATTCATGCTCGTTCAAGTATGATTCCTCTCTGTCTTGTGTTCTGTTAGACACTCAAGGGGCAATAGAATATATATTGATGCTTTGATTGTTAACGACTTTTTTTTGTGAAAGCAGACACTGGGTAGTTAGGCTTGTTGTCTCTGCACTGGTATACAAGCTAGTAAGTAAATAATGTTGTATTAGCTTAAGCTTTCGTTCCAGTCAGATTTGCAGAGACCAAAATATATGAACTTAATGGCTGTGAAAAAAAAGCTAACTGTCACAGCTTTTGAAAAAGTGATGGGAAAAAATTTCTTCTCTGTTTTTCTGTGATAACAGAGGTTTCTGTTGTGACAGCACTTGAACTCCAAAGGTAATGGCTGGCTAATGGTCATTTATCCACAAACACGATTGTGGTAATCTGTGAACTTTTAATATGATTCAAATGAATTTAAAATGTGTGCCCTTTACTGCTTTAGTCTTGTCTGAAATTGCCATGCATGAAGACTAAAATAGTGTTTCTTAATAGCTAGTTCTTAAAAAATTGGCATTATAAACATAATTTTACAAGACGCTTATCTTTTAAATATTCATTCACAACAATGCCTGAAAATTACTCGAACTTAATTATAATGCCTCTTTGTTGTCTCTTTGCAGTGTTTCGTGTTGAACTCTTCTGCACTGGCAGACTCGACTCCGAGGTCACAATACTAATGCAGCTCAACTTGACAATAAATTCATCAAAAAACATCACAGTTTTAAATTTCAAACGAAGGAAAATGTGCTACAAAAGTAAGACATGAAGTTTCAAATACTAAAAAAGCTTGTAGTGTTAAAGTACAGTAGGAAAAAGGAGCAGAAAGTTACATCCAGGACAAGATTAACAGTTCCCAAGAGTGCATGTTGGAGTGGATAGGAAGAAACCAGGTAAAATTTTTCTGTTCAGAGACGAACAGGGTCAAAGCAGAAGCTGATGGATGAACAAGTTCCCCAAGTGTTCTGCTGCATTGACTGACCTTTTTACGTATATATCAAAAAAAATTTTCTCTGTTGTGCTTGGAAGGAAGAAACTAGTTTCCTCAAAACACCACTCTGGATATTCCAGTTGCTCTAAGAATTACCAACAAAATTTACTTATTTATAAATTGTGATTAACTTAAAATTGACTATTTAGCGAATGTAAGCATGTGTTAGTCTTTCAGACTTGGACTACAAAATGATCTTGGTAGGTAAAACAAAATTTACTTATTTATAAATTGTGATTAACTTAAAATTGACTATTTAGCGAATGTAAGCATGTGTTGACTACAAAATGATCTCGGTAGGTAATGCAGACCTCAGAAATCCCAGGTCAGCTCTTCTGTGTTCTAAGTTGGAAATCTGCAAGCACCGTTTATTCTTGGATTGTTACTGTCTCCTGTTGCTGCTTCCTAGAATTATTTTCTTGGGTATCAAAATATTTTGGAGAATCCCCAAAGCTGTACCCTCCTTAAAAATGGCTGTGGTATTGTATTCACAGGCAGCATTTGAGGATGGCCACTTCTCTCTTTATGTGCTCTTCCTGGCTCTGTTCAGGTTACCTGGAGCCTTTGGGGACAGTACTTGGCTTTTCAGGGGGGAGTTTGTCACTTCTCTTGGCTATTAACGTCTAAAGATGAACTTCTGGCAAGTGTGTGTGAAAGAGGTATCATGGCTTTTTAGCACATCGTGTTGTTATACTCATGTTCCTCGCATTGGTGTTATGGGAAGATAATTCAAAGTGTGTCTTTTTCTAGTGAAAATGGAGATCTGGCTGATAATGTTGGTATTTTAATTTCATGTTTTCCTAGGTATTTTTTCAAATGTTCTAGTGGGAGAAGTCAGCACTGCTTATGCATTTCCTTAGGCACCGCACAGTTATCTGGGTGTGTGTGAGAGAGAAAGCCACTAACTGTATTATGCAGAAGTCATTCTTTCAAAGATCATGTTTCTGTGGATTTATAAAAATGTCAGTTACTTTTTTTAATGTGCATTGTTTGGTATAGAGATCTGGGGATTTCTGTTTTAATTTAGTGCATAAGTTAAAAATATGCATGAACTTGCTAGTGGTTTTGCTAAGGGCATTCATAATAGTTCCTCCTAAAGTTTAAAAAAAGGAAAAAAAAACCAAACAAAACCCCTCTCTCAGATTTTTTTCTTCCCCTGGATTGCTTTTTCACAAGTTCATCAGGCTAAACTGGCTTCTCAAAGAGTCATAAGGAGCTGTGCTGGGGGGTGAGCAGCTCTTCACAGCTGGGAGCAGGAAAGGAGATGTGCAAGTGGGACTGCGCCTTTGCAGCCACAGAAATCCTTTATGTTGCCTCAACTGTGAGTGAATCCTCAGTGAGGTTCATCTGAAGTCATCTTCACAGCCTGCATTCCCTTGGTTTGCACTGCTGCTCCTAGTGACCAGGCTCATCATAAGCTTAACGCAGATCAGTCAGTTTTAAAACACTTGGGACCGTAGCATCTGCTGAAAAGGCACAGAACCCACGGCTGTGTCTCTTAACTTCTTCCTAGGATGAGTAACGTTAGACTGGAGCCAGAATTTCTTCCCAAAGGTCAGGGTAATATTAACGGAACATTCAAGAAACCATTTTCTGTCCTGCAGTAACTGATTCTGTGAGGTCTTTGTTGTTCAGTGTCTGGGCATACACTCACGTAGTCTGCACCTCCTCTTTCTACTGTCTGCTGCTTTGGACTGTGGACAAGCCTGAGGGTTTTCTGAGGTAGGTAGTGGGTTCATGCCTGTCAGTGGTGTGATATATCTGACCCGTGTGTCTTAGGGAAGAGTGATTTTCTGATTATACAGTGAGTAGGTATTTAAAACGGAAATCTACGGGTAACTGTAGACCCTAAATCAGCTCACCTATTTGGAGAAGCAGATTTGTTTTTCCATAACTGAGGCAAGTGACTTCCTGTGAAGAGCTACACTAATAAAATGTATACCACACTTAATGGTTTTCTCTCATCTATTTAGAGCTTGAACCAGAAGTAAAATCTCCAACATCTGATAAAAACAGCAGCAAGGCTATCTGTAAGTAATTATGAGTGTACAATTTACTTGGAGTGCAAAAGAAATGAAAAACTTGTTTTGTTTCCACAGCTTTCTGTATGAAAACACTCCTCAGGCAGTCTGTACTATGCCCAGTATTTGTAATTATTATTTTAACTAGGAATATATACTAGTGAGGAGGGAAAAAACTCCAAACTGTTCCAAGTCTCCTAACAAGTCTTTTTCCTCATGTCTTATGAGCTCTTGTTTCTATTCACGACTGATCTATTTTCTTGACCCAGGACTTGTCTAGTTTGCTGTTTTAACTTGTCAAAATTGGATGAATAGAATGAGGTAGTTTCTTCTACTCACTCCTCTTCTACCTGAAAATACCATTGACCAACTGTGCTCAGTCTCCGTAGTACCCAAGATATAAACAAAATGCTTTTGGAAGGCAGTGGAGTGCATTGCTCTGTTTTCTCTTTACCACCTGCTGTTTCTTCCAGGGCAATTGTTCTCCACAATATGTGATTTAAAATTGACGATGGCTGCACATCTGCCTCCTCCTGCCTGCAGTCCCTCTGCCCACGTGGCTGCTTAGCACCAGGTGGAGGCCAGCGCAGCAGAGAGCACTGTGTTGCCAAAGTGCAACTCAGCAGTTTTGCTGTAAAACTTGCTGCAGCTGAGATTCTCTCTCAGAAGAGCATCAACTGCCGTGTTAACACTTCTGCATTAGGATTTGGGGTGGGGGCTGTAATCCACGCATCATGCCCTAAAATCAGGAGAAGAAGCTGAAGGTGGTTGCTGTGGTGCATTTGGTCAGTGAGTAAGCACCACTGCCCTTATGTATTAGTCTGGCTTTGTTTACTGTATTGGTGCATGTCCTGGTGTACAGGTGGCTCCTGCTCTTCCAGCCTCAGCTAGCCGGTCTGTGCCATGGGCTGTGCTGAGTTTGTCCATTCTCCTACTGCATTTGCAGCATGGGAGCCATGGAGGAGGGTGAGGTAGAACCACCAGGACCAACAGACTATTTTAGGAGGTTCCTGCTAGCTTTTATCCTTCAGTAGGAACCCTTTGTTTGTCCCAATAAATAAGTGGAGGCATGGTGTGGCTTGCTGGGCCCTGCCTTGCTTAGCTGTGGTGCCCACTCCTCTGGGGGTTACCATAGTCTGCCTCAGCTGACTGGCTCCTGCTGGACCTGGGTGCCAGCAGCACTGCCTTCCTGACATGTCAGCCTGCTGTGTGTGAGCTTGGTTTGTGGGTGGTGGGGGTTTTTTTGTTTGTTTGGGGTTTTTTTGAGAGGTTCAGTTACTTTTCACCTTTCTGTTTCAGTTGATCCTGTCAACGCAGCTCCCACTACTTCTACCCGTGTGTTTTATATCAGTGTGGGCGTGTGCTGTGCTGTTATATTCCTGGTGGCAATAATATTAGCTGTTTTACATCTCCACAGCATGAAAAGGATAGAGTTGGATGACAGGTATGTGTTCAAGCTTTTCAAGTGCATTTTTGGGTCACGTTTACTTGGATTTGTGCGAGTTCTCATCTCAAAATGAGCACTCCTAGTACCTTGTGATTTCTGCTCTTAATGTCAAACTGTGGCAATTATTACCTGTGTAAAGCTGTGGTAAGTGCTGTACTGCAGAAAGGTAGCAGTTGCAGGTGCTCTGTTATTCCTGGGGTGAGAGGGTTGTGGTTGTTGAATTTTTGTCAGAATAGTTGTGTGGAGGACACAGTCATAGACTCATAGAGTCATGTCAGCTGGAAGAGACCTAGAAGATTATCAAGTCCAGCCTTTGTCCCAGCCCTATCAACCTACTAAACGATTCCCCCCAATGCAACATCCACCCGTCTCTTAAACACCTCCAGGGACAGTGACTCAACCACCTCCCTGGGCAGCCTGTTCCAATGTCTGACAACCCTTTCAGTAAAGAAATTCTTCCTAATATCTAACCTGAACCTCCTCTGATGCAATTTAAGTCCATTTCCCCTCGTCCTATCACTCTCCACTAGGGAGAATGGACCAACCCCAACAAATTGCAAATAGACCAACCCCAACAAATTGCAACAGTGTTGCAATTTGAACAGAAAATGTCAGGATCGAAGAAAAATCTGAGAGGTACCTGAGTGCACTGAAAATACTTGGATTTACTGACTTCTGCAGGAGATTGAATTTCAGATTTCTCTGTTTTGATTGATTTACCATTGCTCACTTTGGCCTTAGGGTAAAGTCTGGGGATTAGAGCTGGTTGGTTATAAAGCTGAAAATGTGTCTATCTCCCAACTGTATTTTCAATCCAGAAAAAAGATTGGCATGTGCATGCGAAAAGGACTGGTAATGTGAACCTAAGGGCGATATGGTCAGCTGAGTGGTGATTAAACACCGAGGCGGAAGGGAGGCTGAAAAAGCAGGTGGACTGAGGCAGTGTGAACAAGCCGCATCAGATGCAAGTGTTCAGGGGCAGGCAGCTTTGAAACTGAATAGTTTGGAAAACAGTGGAGCCCGTGGGTGGTCACTGCTGTTGAAAGGATATCTTGAACTGTTTCTGTTCCTGTCTGCAGCCTCTCAAAGCAGCGCTATCTTTTCGTCTTCCTCTCTACCCATTCTATTTAGGTATCTATTTCTTTCTGGTTTTCTTTCTGCCATTTACTCTGGAGGCGCCCCCAGACCACATTGTTTTTGGATGTTAGTAATACACCCCCCAAAATTACTATTACAAATAGCAAGTAGTAATGGTTTCTCTAGGCCTGATTATCTGAGCAAATAGCTTGTCAGCTTTCTTCAATTCATTTGTGCCTGTCAAGGGATTTTAATCAGTAGAAAGTGTGAAAGGATGTGCAGCTTGTTTTAATTCAGAAAGCAAAAACATTGCATTTATAGAGTGTGTGAAGAGTATCATCTGTGGATTTTTGAGACTCTCAGCCTAGCAGTGTGATCAAATGTCCTTTCATCCACTCCATTCTGCTTGATTTCTGTGGAGTTACAAGCTAAAATTCATCTAATGTGAATATGCTGTGGTTTGCAGGTATTAAAGAGTTTGCTCTAAATTATCATGTACGTTTTGATAATTTCTGTGATGTTTGTGCAGGTGGTGGGGTTTAGTTCTTCAGACAGCCATGTGATGACTTGGTTTTTGAGCCCAAAGGTGCCTGACTTGGCCAGACCTTCAATGGGCTCCCGGCTAAGAGCTGTTGTCAACTAGCGTCACAGCAAAGGTGTAGCAGAGGCACAATGTGCCTAAAAATCAGGATCTCTGGTTTTATTTTCAGAATGGGCAGCATGCAGAGGAGCCACCAAAAGAGACTGTTGGTGATGTTTCAGCGCTTGAATAAGAAACTGGTTCAGTGTTGTAGTTTAGCCTCATGTTATGCACTAGCATATGTTCAGTGACTGCTTGATCAAGGAGCAACTTGTCAAGGAGCTTGTGAGAGAAGAACCAAATTCTGATTTAGTTTTGAATAACAAGCTCAAAATGTTGCTGTAAAGGAGTTCTGAATTGAAGATGATAATATCATTAGGGTTAATGCCCCCCAGGAGCAACAGAAGCTGAAAAAGCCACTGCTGTTGCTCTTAATGTCAAAACCCCAAACTAAATAAAAGTGAAGAAGGTTGTTAAATGGAAGCCAAGGCCAGGCAGCTGAGTTTACAGGCTACACATGGGCTATTTGAGAACATTGTATTGAAGGTTCAGAGCAAATGCTTGCATACCTTCTATCAAAGGCACTTGAAAAAGTGCCAGAGAAGGTTAGCATGGCTTAACAGCAGCATAATGGAGGTTATTAAAAGCAAGAAAGCATTGTTCAAAAAGCTGATGTAGTATGCAAGTGAGAAAACTAAGAAGGATCATAAACATGAGCAACTTAAATCTAAAAACCAGAATGAAGCCAGCCAGAAAGGTAGTTTTTCAAACTTGCAGCAGGCATAAAAAGTATAATTTATTTTTCAAACTTTCCTGCAGCAGGAAGACAGCCAAAGAAATCTCTAGGGCTAGGAGGTGATCAAGTTTCAAAAGGAGTTTCCAGACATAGCAGGAAAACAAAATGCAAATTCTGCATCAGTGTTTAATGCAGCGACCGTGCCAGGACACTTGCTGGAGAGTGGATCATATTGAAGCAGCTTGTAGACACAATAGTGTGAACAGTTAAAAGAAGCAGTAATAAGTTGTCAGCACCAGAAAATAGTCTTTCAAAAACTTTAAAGGCAGTTAAAGTGGAGCAGCTAGACCATCAACTGTGGCTTTTAACCTCATGCTGAAAACTGTGCTGGAACCCTACACCTGGAAGACAGCGAATATTCCAGAGAGAGGGAGATTGAGGCCGGCTATAAATCAGTGAGCCTGATGTTTGTGTTGTGAAATTAGTAGGTTCTGTTCTAAAGAGAAAAGTCAGCAGGTGCATCTGTGATTAGGATATAATGAGGAAGAGTTGACTTGACTTCTTTTTTTTCTTAAAGGAAGTCTTGCTTCAGAACCAACAGTGATCTGAAAGTCCTACAAGTTGGGTAGCACTGCCCCAGCAGAGGGTTATACCCAAATCCAGTCTTTTGTTTGTTCTGATAAAGTCAGCAGAAGTGGAGAAGCTTTAAGATTCAGATAAAAGAGGGGATGTTTATGTATGTTTGGGACAGAGATCAAAAAAGCTGCTTCAGGTCCTGCTGTCTGAGCTAGTAACAGATAGTGCCTTTGCCTGCAAACCTCTTCACCTGTTCTTTGGCCATTACAGTGATGACTTTTTGTAGAATTTTGCCTGTGTGGTTAAGACAGAAAGCACATCCTGCAATGGTTTTTACCTGTGGTTTGCTTGTCTCTTGAATATTACGTACAGCTACGGTCCTTCTATCCAAAGAAAGTATCTTAAAAATGCATTGTAGGTGGCCCTGGAAGGGGCAGCAAGCATCCTGAGAGAGGAGTGGAAGAGCAGGCTAGGACGGTGTGGTCTGTAAAAGAGAGCTGAGACAGGTACTGTGGTACAGGGCAAACAGCTGCTTGTACTGGTGAACTAAGGAATATCTTTTTGAAATTTGCTCCAGCACTAAGGGGCAGCAGATAGAGCTAGTTGCTCTTCTGCCTAGAGCAGGCAAGAGGAGATCACTCTGTCTGAAAAAGCTAGTTAATTAAGCTTTGCAGGATGTTCCAAGTTCCTCTCGGTTTGGCTCAGACTGCTGCTTTCAACCTGTCGTAGTCGTTGTTGATTCTCACTGGGATGTTGGTACTGTGAAGCAAACACACGCAAGTCTTCTCTGGAATAGTTTTGCTGCTTCCGGTATGAGAGGGTAATTCTTGCAATAAATGTTTTGTCACCTTCATTTTTCAAAAGCAGGGAAAAAAAGTACTGGAGAGTAGAGCAAATTTCACAAAACAAATAGGAGGAAGTGATTCACTTTCAAAGGAAAGAAATGCTAAGGTTTTTGAGTCACCTGAAATAATAGGTTTTAATGTGTGAAAGACTAAAGATACCATTCTTTTGAAGTCTCGCCTTGAGAATCTACTGGTTTAAACTTTGATAAGTTAATTTTGAATTTATTACAGTGGCAAACAATCATGTTCATGTCTGGTTTTGTTTTAAAACAGCATTAGTGACAGCAGTAGCTCACAAGGTTTATCCCAGCCTTCCACACAGACGACACAGTACTTACGAGCTGACACACCGAACAATGCAACGCCGGTAACCAGTAAGTGTTAATCTAATTACAGACACTTGGAACAGACCCTCTTGGACACACCTGGAATATTTGGTGATAGAAATCACACTGATTTAGTATCAAGTAGAAAAGAAGAGCATGAAAAATTTCCTGGCTCTGCCAGTTTGCCTCTTGAGTTCACATGGTGTGTGGTTTTATCCAGCCATGCCATAGTCAAGACTGAGGCCTCCTTAAGTACTGGGGCCCAGGAGTCATCATATGAGCACGATAGTGTGTTTTGCCTGGATATTCTCCCTGCATGTACATCAGTCAACCAGAGAGGCTTCAACAGATCTGTGAAGCATTTGTTTTCTTAGCCCTGGGAAGAAGCTGCCTTACACAGTTCAAGCAGAGGGCGATACAGAGCTGAAAGAGGTAACAGCAAGTGGAAGTGTCCACCTGGTCCTAGGGGCAGTTACTGAGAGGAGACCAAGGCAAGCGGTGGCATTGACATCTATTACCATAATACATGGTTATGTTATTCTTTTCATCTTGGCAACTCACAACAGAAATAAATACGTGGGGAAAAAACTTTACAAGGGCGATATATTCACAATCTCTCTTTGTTTACAGCTTTGCTTGAAAGGACATGAAATAGTTAAAAAGAGGAGTGAATTAAAAGGAAGGGTGGCTGTAGTGTGTGTACTCGGTGATAGACTGATCTGGTAACTGATACTGTTTATGTTCTATGTTAATTCTGTAATTACTGAAGATATTTGTTATATGTGGAATCTTTACCTCTCCAATTATCTTCTATCTTATCTAGTGGAGGGTTATCCTATGCTGTCTAGCATCCCTCCAGCGACATGACTGTTCTGACTGTAGCGACGCTGAACAGTGCAGGGACACCGTTGGTGTCAAGTTCCTTGGCAGGTCAATGTCATTGGACTGACTGTGAGCCCTTCCCTTGTGCTGGCAGTTAGGCTGCTAGGCTGGAAGACAATTTAGGGAGCTGAGCCTGCCCAAAACTGACTTCTTCTGCAGAGTAATGAATTTTTAGTTAACTTGGGTCTCTGAACTGACTTGTAGCCTAGCTGTATGAGCACCAAGATTGGTGCTTAGGGCTGTGGGTCTCCATGACTGAGCCCTGGAAGAAGGCAGGACTTAGCCCAAACTCAGTTGGCTTAAGCTACTGCTGATGAGCCAACTTTAAAAGATCTACAGTAAGGTAAGGGTTTATAGTACAAAGTGAGTGTCCTGGTTTGAGAGCACCAGGATAAAAGTTTTCTGGGGTGCTCTCGAACCAGGACAGTGAGAAAAATGGAGAATCCCAGCCAGAGGAACAAAGTATCTCTCTGTTAAATTGCTGTTTTTCTCAATAGAGTGAGAACTGCCAAGCTGAAACCTGGCATTCC